GACTCCATGCATGCATTAAAGCAGTAGAAGATATGCATCAAAGTGGTGCTTCAAATGAAGATACAGTGAGTATTAAAATCTTATTATATTTTTTACTTATTAAATTTATTATTTATGTTAGCTATGTTTGATTGTTTATGAAAAATTATAGATGCTCAAAGCGAAAGTGTTGTTCAAAGAAGATTCTAAATTCAAATCCGGATGGAAATACGACCATGTTTGGAATATTATTAAAAACTTTGAAAAATTTCAAGATGGAGCTTCGAGGAGCAAGAAAAAACAATCTGGTCGTTATCCATCTTCGGAGTCAGAAAATCCAACTCCCGAGTCTGCCGGACAAGAATCCCCAGGTATTTCTTCATTTTCTCTAAAATTAAGCGACTCGGATCAATTTGCTAGTGGTACTCCATCTGAAAGACCTATCGGGGTGAAGAAAGCTAAACTGAAAAGAAAGGTAAATGAAGATTCATCATCGCTCATCAATGCTATGAAGGAAGAAAACAAACGACTTGTTGAAGAGATGAAAAATACAAACGACCAAATAAAACATCAATTGGAATTACGCGACAAATCTCATGCTTTAAAAGAAATGAGAGAAGAAAATAAAATTCTGTTTCAAGATGTGAATTCCATAGCAGATCCTAGAGTTCGAGCATACGTTGAAGCTGAAAAAGCACGAATCTTGGAGAAAAGAGCACAACAAGCCCAATCAAATCCATTTCCAACCAATGCATTTGACCAATTTTTTAATGATCTTGGAGGAAGCGGTTCCAACTTACCAGATTACTAAATTGTCATGCTTGTTTTTTGGTTTCCGGTTTGGGTTTATGATGTATTTTTCTTTCTTTCTTTTTTGTGTGTGTTTGTTTTTTATTTATCATGGTTTAGGATGTATTTTTCCTTTTTTTTGTATGGTCGTTAATTTTCATGGTTTATGATGTATTTTTATTTTCCGTTGTTCTATGTTATCTTTCAATATTATAACTAATTTGGTAATATTAATGTCTTTTTTATTTGTTAAATTTGTAGTCTCTTTAAAATTAATATGGTTTGTAAATTTTTTTTTCTAAAAAAAACACTAACAATATATAATAAAAACGAATAAAACAATATTTAACTTAACATAAATTACTAAATATATATATATAAATAATTACTACAATGTGTAAAATTTAACTTATTAAAGATAAACATAATTATTATATACAATATATATAATAGGTGGGGTATATTGGGATATTGTGATATTGTGAACAAATATAAAATAATATGATATTCATTATTTTATATCCATGAAATAAAAAAAAATAGTATTTTGTAAACTTATTTTTCCAATTCATTTTATCTTAGCATTTTCAATTACAAATATTAAAAATTGGTTGAATTTATCAATTATTAAAGAGAGGGGTCAATTGAAAATAAAAAGCAAAATTGAAGGACTCAAATGAAATTAAAAAAGATGAAACGCATATTTTTGCGTTGGACGCAAAATTGCGTTGAACAGAGGAGAGAGAAGAGGGCAAACGCAAAATGGGATCGGATATGCAGTTCGGTTGGAGAGATTTGTACTGCAAATTTTGAGATTTGCAGTACGGTTGGAGACGGTCTAAAACTAAAGCAAAGTTTGGAGAAAAAACCATCAAAAATCCATCCAAACACCTCTCCTCTCTTCTCGACTTCCTTGCCGCAGTGCATCGCCGACTCGCCATTCACGCGCACAGGCCACCTCGCGCGACCAGCAAGCATATTGACGACCATCTTGCAAGCGAACCTTCAGGCCTCTGTCCCCTGAGCCTCCATCCATCACCACAGATCCCTAGATCGCTGCCTTGCTTGCCGGAGATCCTCCAAGCCGCCCGTTAACCACGCACACGAGCCGAGGCCGAGCTTGCCTCCTGAGACAAATCTCGATCTGATCAGATTGCTTGTAGATTCGATTGGTGCCTGGTAATGGATGGCTTTAGCCTCTAATATCGTATATTATTAATGAGCTGGTATAGATCTAAATTGATGAAGTTTGGATCTATATGTTTTATGTGAGATTTGTTTGATTTAATTGATAAATCAATAGATCTTGATTCCTATTGTGAAATTTGTGGATTTGAGGAACTCCTGGTTGTTTTGAGTTTGTTATTGATGCCCTGTTTAGAGTTTGAAGTCTTTTGCACCCTAAAAAGCCAATGAATCCATGTTATGCCCTAGAGCATTGAAAAATCATCATAAAACGTGTACTCGTGCGTTTTTCCTGAAACTTGGAGGGTCAATCCCTGTTATTATTTTGAGTTTTGTGTTAAAATTTAATATCCTAATTTGGTCCCTAGTCTATTGATATGAGATTAGCCTTTTGTGCCTTAAAACTTTGAAAAATTGTATATAATTATTGACTCGTCCATTTGATCTGAAAATCTGGGGTTGGGAGTCAGCTATTATGTTTTCGTAGTTGTTAAAATTTCAGGTCTTGATTCAATCTCTAGCCTTTCGAACCAGAAACCCCTATTTTATGCCTTTCCTTTAATCAAATTTGATTTATATGTTACGGTTGTTCATTGAGGCTCATCTTTGGTATTATGGTCCTTTTGTGAGTAGTTTATATCATGTTAAAATTTCATTCCAATCGCCCGAGCCAAACTCCAAAAGTCTCGGTTGAGATGTGCAACAACTTGTGACCTCGGGCCACAGCCAGTGCTACTGGCAGACGTCCAGCACGCGGGCAGGGATGCCGCATGCAACACGCAGCAGTGACGCACGCGCGTGCGAAAGCCCGCAGTGAGGTGCTGAGATCCATAGCAGGCGCGCGAGCCACGGCCGTCATCCCATTGTCGTTCTGGAGGCCTCCATGAGCCACGACCGTGCATCTCAACATCGCCCGCAAAACTCATCGCGTCGACCGAAGCCCCGACGCATCCCGCCAGCATTCTCGCGCGCCCAACCGATGCCAGCAGCCAACAGCCGGCCCTTAGACGCGCCTAGCGCCACCCCTAGCCACCACCCGCGGCCCAGTTGCTATTAGCCCCACGCCCGAGCAAGCCCAGTAACCCCAGACGTGCCAGGTGAGCCCAACAGCGACTAGACCAGCCTTGCCCGCACCTATACGCGCCCAGCCCACGCCCCTGCCAAGCCCGCGACCACCGGTTTGCGTTTTTACTGAACATTTTGACCGTTTTTCTACCCCTTTGACCTCGTTTTCCATTTTGCGCCGATTTTTGATATTATTAAATGATTTTTCCAAGTCTTTCCATAAATTTCGAGAGTTCCAAATTCCACGAACTATTTAGTCGACAATTTTCGACCAAGTATAAATTCTCGTGAATTTTTTTAAGTACCAAGATAATATATTTATGAGGATTATCTTGATTAAATGTACGTGTTTGAGGAGTTGATACCTCCACCTAAATCGGAGTGCAACAAGGGATCTAAAGAAAAAAGATAGACTAGACTAAATTAGTAACAAGTTTTTGTCAATGCTTTCTGGATTCTATTGTAAATTTCTAATGATGGATTTCGTGGTTGAGGAACCTAATCCTACTGGTTTGCCATCAAGAGTAAGATCAGTCATCAACTTAGCCTTTACGCAGAGAGTTCGCTTCGTTCGTTGGGAAGAGGTCCAGAAACTTAGAACACAGAAAAGAAAGCTAGCCAAACTGAGATCCCAAAGCTAGGGATATGGGCTTTCCAAATAGGAGTTGTAAACTCGGAAGGAGCTTGTTATAAATGCGTCAGTTGAACTTCAGTTTCACTGCAATGAAGATGTGAGCACCAGGGGTGAGACCAGACACATAATTAAAAGTTATTTTGGGAATAGGTCGGCAGAGGGACCCAAAGATAAAAGACCCCTAAACGGGAAAAAGGGAACTTCTCCCCATCTCTCTTCAAACTGACCTTATTCATTAAGGTTAGTCTCGTGAGGTTCGCCTCTGCCAGATCGGTGATCGAAACTGAGACTATACCCGGGCTACGTCTGGATCGACATGAAAGAGATTAGGCATTTCGGGTGGCAAGTCAAGGGTGAATGTTAAGGAGTTTTTGTCCTGGTAAGTTATCCGGTTCAGTTAGCTAGATGATTGATTAGTGAGATCTTTCCAATAAAGGATCGAATGCTGGACTCCGAAACGTTTTGTGAGCAACAAAACCCTAACATAAAACATAAAGGGGGCTGCGGGCATTGCGTGATCTGAGACACACTGGAAGTATTCGGGATCATCCTAAACACCCTTTTCGCATACAAGTGCATAGCGAGACAATGTTCAGTCACAGGAAGAGAATTACCCGAGGCTATCCCAGTTCCAGTATCGCTAACACGAGGAAAGTCTGGAGCCTATAACAGCTGATTCTCAACTATTCTTGCCAAGACCTTCCGCGTTATGGAGGACACCAATGGCTAATGACATATATGAATACGGTTGCGATATTGATCGGATAGCTTCCTTCCTTTATTAAGTCAATATGACTAGGACCTCTCTTTTGATATCCATTACGTAGGAGATCGAGACACAGCCCCACCCCAGGGCTATGGCTTGATCGAAAGACCGATTTCGATTAACGAAAGTGCAGACCTTTCTATATACCTAGGGGAATTCCCCAAGCGGTCGAGGACAGAATATGAGCTTACTTTTCTCGATCGTTCGGGATACCCACCCTGGCATCCCTTTCTTGGACAGAGTGAAGCTTTTTCTTTTAACAGTAGGAGTTGTTTAGCTACACCGAGACCGAGCTAAGGCAAGGGAACTCTAGCTGCGCCGAAAGGAAGGATTTCCTTTGAATATTCCTTCAAAAAGCCGTAAGCGTTAGTCAACGCGGGGTGTACGTTGAAAGCTTCTATAGTAGAACGTCTGGCAGTACCCTCATTAACCTCAGCTTTACTAATTACTAAATTGGCTTTGGTGGAAGCCATATTGTAAGCAGCACTTGCTGCAATTGTTGCTATTGTAGCTAAAGTTTCTAAAGTAGCTGCTGAAAAGTGAGAGTATAGTTAAAAGTGAAGAGACATCCAGCCAATGAAAATGGCCACCTCTACTTCAGGCAGAACTCTGAAGGCAGAAGTCGAATCAAGCAAAGGTCCCCGGACTCCTTTTGCTCTTATTATCGGTCGTAGAGTCTGCCAGGTCATATCTATGGCCCGAGGTCTATCTAGGAATGTCGTTAATCCAAACTGTAGAATAAGATCAGCTGTGAGTTTAGAGCTGTAGTGGAGGAGTCAGTCAATCAAATCAAAAAAGAGCTCGACATAGGGTTTTTCGAGCTCTCCTAAAGAGGTTTGCTCTGCAACCCGTTATCCCCGCACATCAGTGTTTTTTTGCTTTTTTTCTTGCTAAGGCTCCACCTGCCTTTGAGGGCCAAAAAGGGGGAAGCAATGAACAGCCGACTGTCCAACCAAGAGCCAGACGGAAAAGCAATCCAACGCTCTGTCTGTTGCAATGGGGAATTTGATCTGCTCGAGTTAGAACCCCCTAAGTCACGAGCAAAAGCTCTTGCTATATATTTTGCTGCTGTTTTTTGCGACTTGATTCAAAGCTAAACTAAGGTAAGGAAGGCGCAGGAACGAGAGAAGTGAACAACTAGCGTGAAAGCTGCTTTCTTCCTGGTTCCGGCAAGCTCTAATTGGCTTCGAATAGAACGTTAATGTCAGAGGAACCTTGCTTGATTCGACTTCTGCCTTGATGTGCCTCCTCCTTTTGAAATATGAAATTCGAGAAATAACCATAGAATACCCATCCTTCTCGAAAAACTGCGTTTATTCGGATGATCTTCCTAAAGGTAGTATTCAAATGTACATGAAATTAATCATGCTCTATACCTGAGTGAGGGTATGGGGAATTACTCGTCAACAAGCCTGAAAAGAAAGAGCAAGCGGGTATTACCATCGGTCCTGGAAGTCGATAAGCTTAGCTCATTTTTCTCTTTCTTTGACTTTGAGGAAGATCCCACGACGGCAAGTTCAGAGTGCGTGTTTGTGACCTAGTATTGGTACTACCTTCGACCGAGAAATTGTCAAGGTTTTTCTTTCTGTTTTTTGTGGTAAGAAGGGACGGGACATAGTTTCAGGGCAAACGATAAAGGCCTCAATGAAGCCATACAGGTGAGTCTCCTAGTGCCCTTTTGGAGGTCTTGTCAGAGCCTGCGGTTCAACTAGCTACGACTCTTGGAACAGCTGGAGTAAGAAGTCCCCAAACGAGCGTATTATGGGGGACCGTCAAGCACATCCGGCAAGGATCAAGGGGGATCTCGTTGTTGCATAGCTCAGGTTGCTTATTCACGCTTTCGGTTGCAGATGCGATTTTTTATGCCATTCTTGCTTTCGGTGGAAGAGAATGACGAAGATCTAGGATCAGGCCTAGGCCTAACTCTAATGTAAAGGGTATTGGCACTAGATAAATTACCCTATCCCTATTTGCTTTCGCAGCCTCTCCTTCTATCGTATCGTTCGAGCAGCTATGGCTGCTATCCTTTCAGTCGAGATCAATTCGCTACCATAAAATAGTCTTCATCTTCCCCGGAGGACAGTGAGTAAGAATAGCTACCTCGGAGATAGGTAAACTTATCAACAGACTCTTTATCCTCTCTTTTTTCCACTCTTATGCTTGACTAGCCATTTTGAACGTTTCACTTTGCAAAAAAGAACCGACGAATGAAGTATTGATACAAGGAGGGCTGCATCGGAGCAGCCAATAAGCTAATCCGTTCCCAGTGACCCATCTCAACTGAAATTACAGGATTTCCTGAAAGAGCTTCCGCCTCTCCTCCTCCGTGGTTTTTTTCCAACCACTTTTTATACCTTTTTTCGGTTCTTAATTTAATAAGTCAAGTACCATCCGGATGAAAAACTCACACCGCCAGAGCTATTTCATCCCTTAGACTGCATAGGCTTTGCCTGCTTTAATAAAGAAACGGAGAACACTATCACTACGTGGTCCCGCGCATCTACCATTATACCCGCAATGATCGGCCATACGATTGCCGTTCACAATGGTAAGGAACGACTCATAAAAAACAAAACAAAAATAGGAGTTCCCGCGGATGGAAAACCTCTGCCGAGCACTTCAATCAAACCTTCTTTTAGGAAAGGTTCGATATAATTGACCCCACGGAGCGGTTATTAAGGCACTGCAGTCTGATTTTCTTTTTCTTTAACTCGATGGTTCTTTCCAGCTTGACTGCTGTTCTTAGTTATGGATGGGCTTTTCTTCCTGGTGCTTCCTTTCCTGCGCTTTGGTTCTATTGAGATAATAAGGGGGTGATTGTTTATGCATTGTACAGTAAAAAAACTAATTCAAACTCAAATTTAACACAACTTTAATTCAACTCCATTATTTTCAATATTATTAATATAATAAAATAATATCAACCAATTATTTTTACACATCACATCAACTTTAATTTACTATTCATCCACTCACATAATTTTAACTAACTATCACTTCCAATCATTTTCTCTTACTTTTACATCAAATCAACTTTAATTATTTTATTTTACATACTATTTTAATATATCCACTAACAACTAACCATACTACTTTTTTTTTTTCAAACTTAACTATAGTTAAAAAAAACTAGATTTTTACTAGTTGAATTCATATCCAATCACTCCTTAAATCACTTTCGCTCTGCTCTGTATGCGCGCTCCTCAAGTAATATATGGACTATAACTAGATTCGACTCTATTTTTGATTCTTGGTTTTAGAGTTAGATGCCCGACTCAAAGGATCTCTCCCTAAAGCAGTAAACTAATCCCCAGTCATCTTTCTTCTAGCTTGAACTTCTGTCTTAGTTCTTTCTGGCGATTCCTGTAAATAAAGATGTTCTACGTCCTCTGTGAGTCTTAGTTCTGCCTCGTACTACTTTGACTTCCTGCTTTGACTTTCAAAGGCTTCCGTCATAGAAGGCGAAGAGCGCACAACTTTATAGCAGCATGGAAGAACTTAGTGTTGTTGTCACCCACTCTCTGATAGACACCATTGGCATATCCGTCTTGTTCCCAACCTTGAGGAGGGCGTCGCCAATGAACTCTGCGGCAGGATGAACACCTTGAGGCCATTCGAATTAACTGCGTCGTTTGTCTAACCGATCACAGGAGATAAGCCTTAGTTGTGGGAAAGCGGATACTTAAACTTGATAGGGCTACTTTAGAAGTTCACTAGCTCACCTACGTAGATCCAAAAGGGAGGTTTTGCAGACAGATAGATGGCGATAGCTTTCATTAAGTAGATGAAAGATCCAGGGTAAGGCACGATGATAATTGCCCTATTCTGGCTATGGTTTTCTTCACGAAGTACGCGGACCTATCTCGGTTAGCTGTTACCCCAAAAGAGCATCCTGTATGGATGATCTCGTTCTGGTCAATTACATTGAACCTTAAGTAAGGCCTTTCGCTGGTGCTAGTCTTACTGATTTTTCCTGGTGAAATGTCACAACAATGGACCAAGATTTGACTAAAGAGACCAATATGAATAGGAAAAAGACACTACCTTTTTGTTTTGAATTGAAGAAGCCGAAGGGGTGCCAAGGCATCGAAAGCCTCTTTGAAAGCCGCCTTTTTCTTTGTTTCATCGAGCCTCTCAATTCGATGCGATTGTCGCTTGAGTTCTCACTCGGCCGACTTTTGCCTTGATTCATATCATACGGTATGGAGCCACTACCAAACCTATTTTTGTTTTGGATTGACCAGGCAAAACCCCTATGCTTTTATGAGTGGATTTGAGAGTGCGGCGTCCGTAGGTAGAAGTCCTCCCGATTCCTCAGTAGCATCAGCCTCAATTACACCTTTCCTCTCCAGGGACTTCACTGCGAAGTACAACGAAAGAAGGATTTGGCCGAAAAAGAAGCAAACGCTATGGATACCATGACCGATCACCCGCATCGTTAGCTTGGAAGGCTAGGGGTTATAGTCGGCATCGATTCGGGTGAAATCTTGGATCGAAAAGGTCGAACTCCTCTTCTACCCTTTAACTAGGCCGTCCTCTGTACTCTTCGGGCGTAATCCCGAAAACGACGCCCGGGGTTTTCCTCCTCAGCTGGTATTTTGGGCGGCTTTGTTGCATCGTGTGAATGATGAGAAAGGTCTAACAGGAATTAGGGAGATAAGACTCCAATCACAAGAAAGACCCAAAGCTGTTGTAATCGAGCTTTGAGGTCGATATGGAAGAACTGCTGCGCAGCAGGAAATCCTTTTTTGCTCACTAAGAATTCGGATAGGAAGTCTGAAGAGGCCCCCAACCCTGTGTATGCGAAGCTCTGGAAACTTTTTTTTTTTTTTTTTTTTTTTTTTTTTTTTTTTNATTTTCAGGCAGAATTCCCTCTTCTAGGTACAACCATTTTTCGTCGCCGGTGAGGAAGATCCGGGGTTTCCCAGATATTTTTCCCAATCGAACATCCCACTGGAACGTCCCCTGTCGGTCAAACCAATACCTTGGAATATCGATATCTTACAAAGGAACTCATTTTTCTACCTGGAAAGGAAACCCGGTTTTTCCATTGTCAACGAATGGACTACTGACTAGGCCCTCTTTTGTGATTAAGAGAATGATTCTGGGCGAGTCTGTTCTGCGCGGGTAATTACTCGTGCACGGAATCAAAGAAGACCCAGCCCTGTGTTAGGTTATTTGTACAATACCATGTGAGACTTCCGCCTCATACGGCTCCGTCCCGAGCTTCTGTTGTCGGCCTTGGCATTAGGCGCAGTCCAATACCAGCTTTTAAAATAAAAGGGCATCTGATGAGGCGACCTACGCTGTCTTACTCTGGAGGGCGTAGATAGAAGACTCACTCGCCTTAGAGCAGTTGTTCATGCCTCCAAGGCGTCTTGGAAGAAGAGTGGGAAATGATACTCGAGAGTAACACCAGGGAGTTGAAGGATTCGCTTGCTCGAGTGCAAACTCAAAGACCTTCAAACTCCTGGCTACCGCTTCGGTCTCGGTCTCGGTCTTTTGTCTGTGTATTTCTACGATGTAAATTCCCTATATCCCTATATCATGAAAACCTATCCGATCTGAAGATCTAACTTCAATCTTAAAATTTGAGACGATTGCGTGCTATTGCCTACCTCGATTTCCAAGTGGGTGTCAATAAATTACTATGCCATAATTCTTTATAATCGCTAGATTTTATGATCAATGTATGTATGTAAACTACGACCCTATCGTTGGATGCGGGTTCAAGCATCGATATGGTTTCCCCGTCGGGAGATGCGGATTCGACCGTCAAGGGTGCCTAATGAGAGGCAGTCTCCGTTATAGTCTAATGAGAGGCCATGTCTTTGGATGCGGTTTCGACCATTGACATGTGCTCTCGTTGTTGGATGCGGATTCGACCTTCAGTGGTTATACAGGTGTACACTTGAGCATATTGAGATGTGATATTTGTTGTTGGTTTATGTTCATGCTGCGACCCTACTACCTGTTATTATATTGAATTGATTCGCACAGTGGTGAGCTGGTGGTTTGCTCACCCCCATATCCCCCCTTTCAGGTTGAGCAGGTGGGATGGCGAGACGGACGAGTGGTGGATGGTCATTTTACTGGATTTATATTTATGTTTGAACTGTTTCTGCTATGACTTATGTTTGTCTTCAGAACTTATGTTGAACGTTTTGGAGCATGTTTTGAACTTGATTATGATTATTGGTTTTGAAGTTGGAACTTGATGAAGATTATGTTAAGATTACTTATGTTTCAAGATTATGATTATGATGTTATGCTTATCTCGTATGCATGATGTAAAAATTTGGGCAATGAGTTCCCTGAGGCTCAGATATAACTTGAGCTATTTATGTGAAAATGATTTGAGTAACGCCAATAAATGTTGAAATCAAAAAATGAATTTCGAAAAATTAACTTGATTTTTGGGAAAGGTCCGGAATTTTCTTTAAAAATTAAAGGGGCGTTCCATCTTTACAATGCAATCAGATTTTATCTTCTCACCTTAGCCTATGTTCATTCTAGAAGCTATAAAAACGGCCTAATGCTATTGGGACAACATAAAAGATTCCTTGAAGCTAAGTGATAAAAACGATAACATAAAGGTGAAAAAGGACTCCAACAGGGGGAAAAGAAAAAGTTTGTCTCCATGAATGACGTGGATTTTAGAGGCTTGTTTGGAAGTTGAAATTTGCTGAAGTTTTAAGACTGTATTCTTTCAACCATCTGTTAAGAAGAGTATTAACAATATTTACATTTAAAGTCTTAATGGGTCTGAATCAATATTATTTATCTTTAAGGTTTTCATAGTTAATTGACTTATCTTTCGAGCCTCGAACTCATACAAACTAATGTTTTTTGAATTGATAGTTTCATATACTTCAAGGCCGATTAATATAATTTATATTCCCGTCTCCAAATTGATATTTCACTCTGATCCATGTAGAGGAAAAAGGAAGAGGGGAAGGAGGTCGAACAAAGAAATATCAGGTCTTCCATTTAGGAATATTGGAAGGCATGTCATTAATAAAATGAGCCCCATTGCGGGCCTGTAAGTACAAGGTGCCACTTTGCAGTTTGGCAATGAAACAATAGACAAAGAAACCTAAATCTATATGACTTAATCAACAATAGGAGAGAATGGCATAGAAAACGAGCTGACGGACAACATTAGGCCACAATTAGTTAATGGGGAGATCGAACACATTGTAGAGCTTGAGCAAAAGGGGCTAAGAGTAAGTCTAACCCTAAGTTGATCTGGTCTCAAAGAAGGCATTACAACCGGGGTGAGGATGGGCGTAATCTTCCATAAGCCGAGGCGATACATAATGCCGATTAGTAGGAAGCCCAAAAAATATGAGGAAGTGCTCGATCTCATCCTCAGACATAGTACAGAAAGTGTTGGGTGGTCGAGCAACAGTAACCATGTTTTCAGCGGTTAAGGGTGTAGCCAGGTATGGGCACACCCATGGGGATGGAAACGGCTGGTCTAACAGGAGAAGGAATAGGAGTGGCCTCTTCGGCTTCAGACTCAGTCTCGTCGCGAAGTGTTAAAGGGCGACGAGAAGGATGAGAGGTGGAAGAGGATGGATTGATATGAGAAACAACAGAGATAGTTTTCCATGGAGAAACCGTAAATACTTCGGCGACAAAAAAGGGTAGACTGAGGATTAAGAGAACGGGAAGAAGGAGGAGGAGTCATATCACGACCAGAGTGGCGGTCGCCCTCACTTGTAGTCGCGGAATCTAAAATGGACAAAAAATAAAGCAAAAAGAGGAAAAAATTCAATATTTTGTAAAAATTAGCGGATGGCAAGAGATTAATGATATATTTAAGATGGAATGAGATAAGAAAATCGAGGAGGATGATGCATATACTTAAGAATACGAAACTGCAATTAAAATAAGAAAAGGGAAAGAGGACTTCCACATTGTTGGCGGATGCTGAGAAGAGAGTCTAGAGCCTGGTGAGTTATTGAAGAGGCGGGAACACGAGGTGCAATGAATCCTTCGTCAAAAGCAAGAAAAAGCACAAGTGAATAGAAATAGAGATGTTTTGCAGGAGGTGGAAAACCTTGCAACAATGGCGAAATGGGATTTTTATAGGTAAAAGAAAGGAGAAGAGGAAGGCTCGAAAAAATTTAGGACACAGGATTTGAGTTGGATTGATGGTACAGATTGAAAGAAGTAGGTGAAAGGACAGGTCGAGATCGACTGTTAGATCATAGGTGAAATGGAAGGACAAGATCAAATGTACATTTAATGCGGTACACTGCACAAGGCTTGCACGGATGGTGAAGTGACAGAAGAAACGACATCTGGACTGACGACAACACGTGGAAATGAGATGGTTTAGCTAGATAGGTGTGGACACGTGGCGAAGGTTTCAATTTTAAAGTTCAAAAAGAAGAAAGACCCAGGAAGAACTGAAGAACAAAGACAAGAATGAGGGAAAACTATATTCACTTTTGGATCGAGTCATCTCGACTCAACCAGAGTGGGGGAGGGGGGACTAGATGATATGAGATAACCACACTTGGTTGACTGAACCAGAGAAGCAACTAGACGGAATCAGTCTGATCATCAGGTCGAAGACGGAAAGAGGATTGTCCAGGTCGAAAGACCCTATGATCAAAGAAAGCATCGAAAGGCTGAGGACACCAGAATGTCGAATAGGAGTCCAGGTCGAAGATCAATGGATAAGGAAGCTAGTCGAAGGATCGACCAGATGGGTGTGGCAGCAAAGCTCGTAGTCGACGACACTCTACCTAGGGGTAATGGAGGTCGAGGCCACGATCAGATCACTTAAGGAAGAGAGTTTTAGAGATAAGAAGAAATCTTAAGGGGATTAAACCCCTCACATAGGCAAAACCACGTGGCACCATCCGAGTGATCCCCACCTCATAACCACCTCTGACAGCCCGGGTGGCTCGGACAGATCTGACAACAAAGGCAGCTCACGCACTCATGATCGGGGAGCTCACGCGCCTGTCTTGGGCCCTAAGGTGTCTTTTCCCTATAAAGGGAGAGAGGTATGACTAAACAGACAATACATTCTCTATTATACTGAGCATTTTCCAGAGAGTTTTCCTCTCTGCACTTCATCTTCTATACTTACTTAAGCATTGAAGGCTCTTCACCGGAGATACCTTCCAGTGTGAGAGTTCTACAAGTTCGAGAATGTTCAACCGGTGATCCGTTCGAGTTCCATGTATTTCAGTTCGTGTCAGCGGGTCGGAGGTCTTTTCGATACCACACTCCGTTAAGGACATAATTGATAAAACTCTTAAAGAATTACATATTTAAATTAAGACTTTGATTGTTGATCTTTTTGTCATGTTAGCATATGTTGACAATGGTTGTGGCACTTTCTATTTGTTTTCCTTGTGTACCAAGTTTACTAAGTTTTAGAATTAAATAAAATACTTAAGTAAAAAGCCTTTTAACATTTACTCTTTTATTATGCAAGTAACACTACTAAAGATGCTCATAACCGAACTTCAACTAAAATAACAAAGAAAATATGTTGGTAGCTGGCTAACTATTAGGCTTCGTTACTATTATCTATTAATGAAAATGAATACTTGCATAACAATATGTTATGCAATGATGCTTTGTTGGTGAAGCAGTTGTGGAGGGTGATCACCAAGCCCCAGTTGCTTATGAGTAGGATCATCAAGAGCATGTACTTTCCAAGATCTTCTCTATTTGAAGTTGACCTGAAACAAAACTCTTCTTAGTTATGAAGGCCATGGTGGAAAGTTAGATGGCTGTTGCAAAAAGGCTTGCAAGTGGAGGTGAGAAATGGAACATCATTGAGGATTCAAGATCACAACTGGGTGCTAGGGATTATAAACATGGGGCCTCGAATCAAGCAGGAATTCAGTGGGAAAACCATGTGGGTGAAAGATTTGATAGACAATGAGATCAATTCCTGGAATGTGCATAAAGTGGCAGAAGTTTTTGAGATAGAGGATTGTGAGGTTGTGATGCAAATCCAAACTATCAATTGTGACACTGAAGAAAGATGGAGGTGGACATTGCATAAGACAGGTCAGTTTACTGTGGCTTCCTCTTATAAATTCTTGAGCCGACAGAAACTTCTAATGTTGGATGTGGCAGAGGGTAGTTCAAAGGCTAACAGAAATAAGAAAGTGAGAGTGAGAAGTTGGAGACTTAAGAGTGAAAGGTAAAATCAAACATTTTATTTGGAAATGCTTCTCGGGTACCCTGCCACTTAATGTGAATGTGAGAAGGAGAGGTATTGAAATTGATGTGTTATTTCATGGCTGTGGTCTGGAAGAGAAAACTACTGAACATGTTTTCTTCAAATGTGATAGAGCTAGGAAAGTCTGGAAACATACACCAGTGTGCTGGGATGGGTTGAAAAATGATACATGCAGGTTTCAGATTGGTGGGGATGGGTTTGCAGTGTTGATAGCAATGAGATTTCTGAAGCACATATTGGGCTCACGACTTATATCTTGTGGTGGCTTTGGAAATCAAGAAATATAGTCAAAGGTGCTCTTGGAGAATGGCAGGAAAATGTGCAGATGAGAGGAAATGCTAGTAGAGGACATCGCAACACGTGATCTAGGTCTGCTTTTTCGAGCAGTTAAGTGGAGATGGTCTGTTTTTGTTTAATTCTCTGTTAGTTTCTTTTTTTTCACCATTTTTTTTGTATGATTTGTATAGCTAAAAGGTTCAGTGCATGTACTGCCTTTTCTTTATGTGACTGTTGTTTTGATTTAGGCTACATGGGTTCTGTGTAGTCCTCTCTGGCTTATGCCCTCGGCATTAGGGGTTATCCCTTTCATTTGTATTTGGACAATGTACCATGTTCGTTTTTGTTGGGTTATGGAGATTTCCTATTGTTCCGTTAAAAAATAAATAAATAAAATACATGCATAACGATATGTTGTATTTATATTTATTAAAACATAAAATTATATTTTAAAAGTATGTATATTTGCTAGTAATGTATGGTTGTAGAATTTATTTAATTATTATAGCATTGCTACAGAGTAACAAAAACATGGGAAAAAATGCACAATTCGTTCACTAATTATGCCCGAGTTGCACTTTCGTCCTTTAATTGTTTTACTTTTGGTACACTATCATTTTCTTTTCGTTTTTTGCAATTTTTGTCTAAAGCGAGGTTCCGGTGCGCATTTTGCCGAAAAAGCAGATGCGGCGCCTAGTCGAATTCTACTTACTAATTTTTGGCGTGATGTGTCATCCGACTATCTAGTGAAAATGACACATAGTTTAAATTACCAAAAATAATAATAATAATAATAATTAATACAGAACATAAAGAAAATGTAAAGAAGCAAATTTTTTAAAACAAAATGAAAAGGAAAATAATTCACGAGAGGGATGTGGAATTGCCTTCTCTTTCCTGCCGGAGGACAACGGAGTAGCCAGATGATGGGGACAACCGAGGAGGATGATTGGCGTGAAGAACAAATTCCCCCAGCCCATGGTCGTGTTCCGCATGTCCTTTTTGGCATGATGCAAAATTGAATTGGGGAAAAAAACTAGGGTTTTGCTCAATGGTGTAATTGTAGTATGATGCTCAGTCCAACTTTAGTTCTCTCCCTGCCTCACTGTCGGTTGTGTTTGGGCTTGAAATTTGAGAGCTTTCATCGGGGGAATTTTGGGGTCTGTTCTTCACGTTGGCGCGCCGCCTTCCCCGTATGGGATTCGAGGTTGCTGGCGATTCTCTGACGAAAAGGGTGCTGGCGCAACGCAGATCCAAAGTCCGGTCAACGTGGGGTTCGAGGTTTCGATAGATGACAATCATCGGTCGGACCGCTGCTCCCTCCAGCACTGCCCACGTCGCCTGCTGCTGCACCGGAATTTCGAGCGTCGGAGAACTAAACGAGTTGGGCACATCGACTCACTGCCGCCTCCGCCGCCGTTGAATTCCTCGGCACAGCCACAGTCCACACATTGCTGCCGCCACCTTCACAACCGTCTAAGGTGTTGCAGAAAAATTGAGGAAGAACATGAATAGTTCTTTTAAATTATTTTTTATTATTATTACTATGCTGACCTAGCATAATTGGGCCTTAGATTTTTCTTTTGTTAATTTTATTCTAATTCTTTTAATTTTTTTATCCATGTGTTGAAACAATTGGGCAAGTCTTGTGCCACATCACGCCAGAAAATAGTAAATATGTAACGCCCCAAAACAGTAATAATATTCAGAACGGTTTCACTGCTCGACTATAAGTGAAATCCGTAAGTTTCAGAAATTTTCGAGTTATATTATTTATGCTAAATGCTCAAACATGATAAATTATTCTTTGAATAATTCTATTTCAAGTATAAGTTAAGGTCAATCCATTAATTTGGGTTATTAAATAATAGCAAGTCAATTTGAGAAATTACCGGACACGAACCCTAGTTGTCGTTCCGAGTGTATTTTCCTAAGTCAAAAATTGAGAGTTGATATTTTAATACTTAGAATATTTTTCTAAGTGTGTTAGAATACCAAAGTCGAGCTTTGGACATTTTATATTGAGCCCTAGTGCTCACCCGAGCCGCCCGTGCCGAGCCCCGCACCCGCGCCTCGTGCCGTGCCAAGCACGTGCCTACCGAGCCCATGGCTTGTCCTAAGCCTTGGCATAAGTTGGTAAAATAATTCTAAGTGTTCTTGGACCCTTGGAGAGCCTTAGGACTCGGCCCAAGACCACCACACGCGAGCAGCCGTTTTTC